AAAAACTATTGAGAGAACCCGGGCTTGGTGACACAGGCCTTTAATCTTAGCACTTGGGAGGCTGAGGCAGGCAAATCTCTGAGATCTGGCCAGTTGGGGCTACAGGGAGAGCCTGTCTCAAAAAGACCCCTCCCCTCCAAAAAAATATTGAGACAGCTCTCTCTACCATATTTGCCCTAGGGCATCAAACTTTGCAGTAGGTTTCTTTACCTGCTGAGCCATCTATCCGGCCCAATAAATACATAAAGAAATTTATTTACATGCATACAAACCCACATAAAAAGTAAATGTATAAATGTCATCCTTATTTAAAATAAAGCCAACAATCTCTCTTTAAACTTCTCTCCCTATAACATCCATGATTTGATATTATTTGGAAGTTTGTTTCTTACTTAGATGACTGTCCTCTCAGATACTAGTAGTTCAAATACCTATTATGTATCATCCCCTTCAGTTGTATGTATAATTATATAGTTCTCTTTACATGTGTGTTTATAGAAACCTACTTAGGTTTTTAAGTGAAATACATGTTTTGTTTTTAATGTCTCCTATAGTTTTTCAATCAAGTCCTGGTGCTAGGAAGATCATCAGTAAGTGATTTGTCAGAACACGTATTTGATCTGATTCAGGAGCTTTTTGCTATAGATCCTCATTTATTATTATCTGTCATGCCACAGCTTGAATTCAAATTAAAGGTAAGATTGTCCAATTTCCAAAACCTTTTAAGCTTTAAAGAAATAGAAAATGTGTTTTTGTAATTTTGCTTCTCTTTACAAAGGAATAAAATATGAGTCAGTTTATCTCATGTTTAGCTTAATGTAACATTTTAAAATCACGATATACCTAGATTTCTGTCGATAAACATAGTGACCCAAGTAAGAGATAAAAAAGTAATGTTACCTTTGAAATTTATAACATTCAGTAATTATATGTTAAATGACATTTGAGTAAATATGTTGGGATTTTATTTTTCTGTTTTTGTGGGGATTTTTGGTGTTTTTTGTTTTTGTTTTTTGAGACAAGATCTCACTGTGTAGCCCTGGCTGACTGGAACTCGCAAAGATCCACCTGCCTCTACCTCTCCAATGCTGGAATTAAAGGAAGGTACCACCATGTCAGGCTCGTAGACATACTGCTGTTGTTATTGTTGTTTGTTTTTAGATTACAGGTAAATAATGGGTTTAATTATATTTTCATAGCGATTAAGTATGTTTTAAAATATAAAAAGATTATAAATTAAGTGCCTGAAGGGTCATGGCTGGCATGTATATGTTTTTGTGTTTTTTTTGTTTTGTTTTGTTTTGGTTTGGTTTGGTTTGGTTTTTTGAGACATGTATATCTTTTTAAATGTTGTATTATTTTTATTTTATGTGTATGAGTGTATTACCTGCATATATGTAAGTATACCTGTGTCATACAATGCCTGCAGAGGTGAGAAGAGGACATCATATGCCTTGGAACTGGAGTTACAAATGGTTAACTGCCATGTGGTGCTGGGACAGCCAATGCTCTTAACTGCTGAGCCATCTCTCCAGTCCCTTGTCTCACTTTTGAGGTGCTCCTTACCCGCTAGGCCCTTCTTTTCCATCCCTGATCTCCCACTCTTGGATCATTGTTCTCCACAGCTAAGAAAGGAATTCATTACTCTTTTAAAAAAGAAAAGCCTATAACACTCAGTCCCTTGTCGTAACTGAAATATAGAAGATAACATATATTTAATATTCTGAAACTTAGTAGCAAGCACCATTCATTACCCACTAAGCCCCCTCTCTGGTCCCAAAAATTTATTTTAAAAGCCTGGAGTGTTTGTTTTATTGCTGTTTGTTCTTTATTTTTTTTAGACAGGGTCTTACTATGTAGCTCTAGCTGGCCTGGAACTTGCTATGTAGGCCAGGCTAACTTCAAACTCACTGAGGTCAGCCTGCTTTTGTCTCCCAAGTGCTGGGATTAAAGGTATGTGCCACTATGCTGGGCAAACATGTATTTCAAAACGGTTAAAAAATTTCATCTGGGGCTGGAGAGATGGCTCAGTGGTGAAGAGGACTGACTGCTCTTGAAAAAGATCTGGGTTTGATTCCCAGCACCCACATGGTGTCTAACTACTGTTCATAACTGCAGGTGCAGGAAATCTGCCCTCTTCTGGTCCTTCGAGCATTGTACCACATGGGTACACTTACATTAATGCAGACAGCATACTCATACAAATAAAATAAAAATAATAAATAAAAGACTTTAAAAAATCATTTGTAGGGCATGGCAGCGCATGCCTTAATCCCAGCATTCGGGAGGCAGAAACAGATTTCTGTGAGATCCAGGACAGCTGAGAGTACAAGGATATCGTTCTCAAAAATACTAAAAAAAAAAAATCATTTTATTGCTGGCTGCAGTGCTTTAATGCCAGCACTTGGGAGACAGAGGCAGGCAGATCTCTGAGATCCAGGACAGCCTGGTCTACACAGCAAGTTCCAGACCAGCTGGAGCTGCATCCCTGTCTCAAATAATAATAAATAATAATAATAATAACTAACAATGTTTTCATAAAAAATTGCTTTAAATGAATTACTTTTTAATTTGAAGCAAAAGTAGTTGGTTGCCTTGCCTGAGTAGGACTAGGAAGAAATAAAAAACTAGAGGGAATTTATTGTATTTTGTTTGCAAAAAATAACCGTGGCCCGAGGAGGTGGCTCAGAGTTTTATTTATTTATTTAATTTTTGTCTTTTTGAGACAGGGTCTTTCTGTAGCCCCAGCTGTCCTGGAACTCACTATGTAGACCAGGCTGGCCTTGAACTCACAGAGATCCACGCCCGGCCCCTTTAAAATATTTTATTTATTATTTTTATTTTATGTGTATGAGTGTATTGGCTGTGTGTGTGTGTGTGTGTGAGTGTACTCTGTCGTGCAATGCCGATGAGATCGGAAGAGGGATTCAGAATCTCCTGGAACTGAAGTTAAGGATGGTTCACAACCACCATGTGGGTGCTGGGAATCGAACTTGAGTCCTCTGCAAGAGCAGTAAGTGCTCTTAACTGCTGAGCCATCTTTCCAGCCCAGAGTTTTTTTCTTTATCAACTCCTTTATTAAAATAGATATCTGAGTTGGTTGTAGTGGCACACATGCCTTTAATCCCAACACTCACTCCAGACAGTGGCAGGTGAATCTCTGTGGGTTCGAAGCCGTTTTGATCTACAAAGTGAGTTCCAGGCCAGCTGGGGCGACAAGGAGACACTGTCTCAAACAGACTTCAATTAATTAATTAATTAATTAATTAAAATAAAATAAAATAAAATAGATATCTGTAATTCACTGTATGTTTATAGAGTACTTCATTGTGCCATAGATTTATAATAACAGATGTACATTAGAGGCACCATTTTTTTTTTGCACCTAAAATTTTACCATCATTGTAATCACTCCAACTTCACTCAGAATTTATATAAAATTTTACACTACTGAGTGTAGAGGTTGAGTTTTATCTCAGCAAATTCTAGCTGTGAAATGTACATTATTTGCAGTAGTCATGAATCTACTAATATAGTCAACTCACAAAAAATTTCTATATATTCTAGTGTTTGATATTTAAGACGTTGGTTTTCCCTTAAAAAGTAAATTGTGTTAGTGAATTTTCAACTTACTGAATGGTAGTATTGCTTGTCATTGTTTCACTTTGTTTGAGAAAGTGGTAAAAAAAAAATCATTTTGTCGTTCATAATTGTGTTACAACCTTATACAATTTGCACTTTTCCATGTGTTTCATGTATATGGGCACATTTTACTATCATCCCAAAAAATATTTCCGAGAGTTTAAAAAACATTAAAAAAAAATTGGCCAGTGGTGCACACCTTTAATCCCAGCAGAAGCAGGCTGCTCTCTGTGAGTTCCAGGCCAGCTGGGGCTATAGGGAGGCCCTGTCTCAAAAAGACAAAAACCCCCAAATATCGTATACCAGAACCTTAAGTAATGTGTATTAATTTTGGTATTTCACTTGCAGCACAGAATCTATATGAAGGAAGCTTACTAAGGTTGGAATTATTTGTCACTTTCTCCTTTGTTGAATTTTTCTAGAGCCTTAGGCAATGTTAGGGTTGATAAAAATATATGTATGATGTGTAAATCTGTATATAGATTGCAAACACATTGTGAAGTAGGCATAAATTGGCAATAGTTATGCGTATGAGGTAAGGTCAGAGAGCCAGGGATCTAACATTTAATCACCTAAAATTTTCCATAGTTAATAAGAGTGTGATTTTTTTTTTTTTTTAATGTGTATGCTTGTATTGCCTGCATGTAGGTAAGTGCACCTGTGTCATGCAGTACCTGCAGAGGACAGAAGCGATTGTTGGATCCCCTGGAACTGGAGTTACAGAGAGTTGTTAGCTGCCATTGGGTGCTGGGATTCGCACCCCGGTCTTCTGCAAGAACAGTCAGTGTTCTTATTCACAGAGCCATCTCCCCAGAGATGTGTCTCCAAAATTGTGTCTGCCTGGGAAGATTTCGATTTTAGTAGTCTGAGGAGTAAAGCTCAGGCTTTCTTTGTTTTTTCTCATTGTAGAGTAATGATGGTGAAGAACGATTAGCTGTGGTTCGGCTACTAGCTAAATTGTTTGGTTCTAAGGATTCTGACTTGGCAACCCAGAACCGGCCACTTTGGCAGTGTTTTCTTGGACGGTAAGAGAGTATGGAATACAGACTTCTATATTTTGTGTGCTAGTCAATAGGATCCATTTTAGACCACCAAAACTTTATTGATATTTTTGTTATAGTTTTCCTTGTAGAATAATTTATAGGGCAAAGTATTTATGAAGAATGTTTATTCACTCATGTAGCTGTGTGTGTGTGTGTGTGTGTATGGTTTATGCTTGTTCTCAATTTTTTTTATTTTGTAGCATAATTTTAAACTCATAATTTTAGGTCTACAAATTGGGTAGTTTGAGTTGGAGAATATATGCCATTTTTGTTTGCTTCAGCATGTTAAGCACATACTATTTGCAAAAATACTTCTATAAAATTATCTTTTTGTTTACTATTGTACTTTATATTCTTCCATAGAACACATTAGGTATCAGTATAATCAACGCAGTTTCTCTTCAGCTGGATTTTAAAATTTTATTTATTGAGGCTAGAGAGATGACTCAGCTGTATAGAGTACTGACTGCTATTGCAGAGGACCTGGTTTGGTTCCCAGCACCACATGGCGGCTAACAACTGTCCATAACTCCAAGTGCACATACGTGAGGGCAATGCACTCATACACATAAAATAATAAACAAGATACTTAAATTTTAAATTATTTATTTTATGTGTATGAGTTTTTTTGCCAGCATGTAGGTACACCTGTACATGCAAAGCCCATGGAGGCAAGGCGAGGGCATCGGATCCATTCCCCTAGAACTGGAATTGCAGATCATTTTTAGCTGCCATGTGAGTGCTGGGAATCAGTCACAGGTCCTCTACAAGAGCAGACAGTATTCTTAACCGTTCAACCATCTCTCCAGCCCCTATCACTGTTTATAAACACTTTTGTTACTTATATCTTATTTGAAAAGCTTATTTTGCCTTATTATTATTTATCAATCTCTTTCTATTTAGGTTTAATGACATTCATGTTCCTGTGAGATTAGAAAGTGTGAAATTTGCCAGTCACTGTTTAATGAATCACCCAGATTTAGCAAAGGATCTCACAGGTAAGTTACCTAGTTCATTAAACTTAGTAATCACAAAAGCAGTTTAGATGTAACCTGTACCTACTTTCAGTTACTAAATAGGTTTTGATTCTCTGATGGTTTCAGTCTGTTTCACGGACTAGGAAATAATTTCCTGTTTATAAATGACAGTTGAAGCTGGGTGTGGTGGCGCATGCCTTTAATCCCAGTACTTGGGAGGCAGAGACAGGCAGATCTCTGAGTTCAAGGCTAGCCTGGTCTACACAGTGAGTTCCAGGCCCACTGGGGCTACAGGGACGCCCTGTCTCAAAAAAACAGAAAACAAAACTTGGGTCAGCATGCTAAAATTTATTCAAAACAGGAGAAATAACATTTTTGTTTTGATTTAAATTGCATTATAATTTATTTAGGAATTTAAAATGTTTTCTGAGTTATATTATGTAATATATATTCTTTGATTTATGAATGTTTTTACTGTTTTTAAGTCTTAATTCATAGATATTTGATCTATAGTTTGGAATAAATCAGGTACTGTGTTGTCATTTGATTTTCTACCACAGCACATTGTTGATTAAGATGTTCTTTCTAGTAATAAGAATGGTTTTGGATTATTAAAGAGTAATTTGTAGTGTTTTAGAAATGATTTTTCATGCCTTGTTTCTTTATGGACAAATCTTAAAGCATTTTTCTTATCTGTCATTCTGAATCATGACAAATTACATAGCTAAAATTCAGCTCAACTTTTTTCTTATCACAGAATATTTGAAAGTTAGATCACATGATCCAGAAGAAGCTATTCGTCATGATGTCATTGTTACTATAATAACAGCTGCCAAAAGAGACCTTACTTTAGTAAATGATCAACTGCTTGGCTTTGTCAGAGAAAGGACACTGGATAAACGGGTACAATCTGAGGCGTTTTATTCTATAACACCAGTTACGGCTTTTCTATGAAAATTAGAAAAATACTAAATGTAGAGCTATTGAGTTTTAATGTTTTCTATACTTAAATCTGTTATTTACCTTTGTAAATAAATACATTGGATTCTGAAACTTGTCACATTATAGGAATGGGTTTTTCTTTTAGTACTCCTGTGTTAAAGAACAGGCAAATTAAAGTTTTATCTTTTCTAAAAAGAAAGTGATTATGTATACTTATTTCTTAGTTACACATTTAACTTAGCTGGATCTGGAATTCACTGAATTAAAAGAATAACATAGTCCCTAAAGAAAGTGCTATTCCCATCTACCATGCCAAGCTAAGAGCAGGAATTGTTAGTTGCTAAGGAAAGGCAGTGCTATGAAGAACAGCAACAGCAGTTGCTAAAGGATGGTCATGTTAACCTTAAGCAGGAGACAGACTTGCAAGGCAGCTGCCCAGGCATCTCCTTACTAATATTTTTAACAGTGATAGCAAACATGCCTTAGAGTTAGACATGCTGGACAGGTACTTTACCAATTAATTTACATTCCTAGCCCCCGAACACCATTATTGTTGTTAGGTTTTACTTATTATTGTTAGTTTCCCTGCACGTGCGTGCATGCGTGCGTGTGTGTGAGTCAGGACAACTTTCTCTTCTATCATGTGGGTCCTAGGATTAAACTCAAGTCACCAGGCTTGGCAGCAAGTGCCTATATCCACTGAGTCATCTCACTACCCTTACCTGATTTTTAAGTCTACAAAGTAAGAAAGTTCAAATAAGGTAGACATGAATGTTCTCTCCAGTTTTGTCTTCCCAGAATTCTTGGTGCTATACTTACTTGGTTGTTCTTATTTCCAATTAAGATCAAAAAGGACACGAGGCAGGCAGATCTCTGTGAGATCAAGACTAGCCTTGTCTACATAGTGACCCAGGCCAGCTGGAGCTATAAGGAGACCCTATCTCAAAAAAACAAACCAAACAAAAGATCAAAAAGAATTAAGAATTAAATGTTGTAGGCTTTCATATACAGAATGAATTATGTGTCTTACAGTGGTTTTTTTTTTAACATTTTAATTATATCAGTGTGCTTTTAGAGAATCAAATCTAATGAAATCTATAGAATTTACTATTGCTTGGTTTGGCAGGAACTAAAAAATGGGTAGGGCATATAGCACTATCTGCACTGGAAATTTTCTAAAGTATTCTGCTGTGTAAATAGGAATAGTTTCAAAACAGTTGATGAAGCAATTTGGTAAAGCTGCAATGAGAAGACTATGTGTTGTTCTTACATATGGACAGAATAACTGCATAACTAAGTGAAGCTCCTGCAGTTTTTCTTCAGTTTGGGTGTCTCACTCTTCTAATAAGTGCTATATTTTCTAGTGGAGAGTAAGAAAAGAAGCTATGATGGGTTTGGCCCAACTTTATAAGAAATACTGTCTTCACGGTGAAGCAGGAAAGGAAGCTGCAGAGAAAGTCAGCTGGATAAAGGACAAACTTTTGCACATCTATTATCAGAACAGCATTGATGACAAGTGAGACTAATGTTTTGTTAAAACTCATTTTCATTTTTAAATACTTCTGTTTCAGTTTTACATTTCTAAATTCAGAAATAGTTTTCTTCATGTTTCTGCATACTGTACTTAAATAAAATTCTTTACAGGATTATAATGTAGCATAATAGTAATGAAAGAGAGACTTGGGAGTGAGGCAGAGCCGAGACCAAATCTTCACTCTGCTTCCTGTAACTTTTTTACTGTGTGCTTCAGCTTTCTAAAAGAAAGAAGAATAATAGTGACTTCCTTATGATATTGTCAAGTGGATTAGGTAATATGTGCACAGCACCCAGCTGTGTGCCTGCAATAGAGCATTGTCTCATAAACACTAGTTATTAGTTTTCTTTTGGGCAATTGTATTCCCCCCCCCCTCGCTAGAGGAATTGTTCGCATTTTATGAATTCTACTTATTCTATTTTATATTACACTAATGATACTTGTTTGTGTAAAAATACTTTGCAATGTTTTATTAGGGTGATAACTTAGGCATCACTGAATGTATGTATTGTGTCAGTTATTGAGGAGCTCTTGTGTTTTTTAATTGTAATGATACTGAATAATAGGAATTTATCCTGGAGAGATGGAAAGTTGTATGTGCACATTTTTAGGAAGTAATATGGGAGATCCTCCTGTTTTTGCTACATGACAGCATGGGAAAGGAGCTAAACTATAATTAGAGGAAGTTAATGAGTTTCTTGAGAATTAGCTATACTTGGCATCATAGCTTTGTATGTAGTGCTACCTAATTTATTATCTGTAGTTTCAGACTGATGAAGCTTATCAGCTGGGTCAGTGAAACACCTTGTGTTTTAAGAATAACATTTAGGAAAACAGGGCCTGGTGGTACATACTTGTCATCCGAGCACTTTGGAGGCTAAAAGAGAGGCTCAGGGCAAGCAAGTTTGAGGCCAGCTTGACCTACATGAGACCCTGTCAGAAAAAAAGGAAGCACGTCCCTTCCCCAAAACAAAAAGGAAGAGAGAAGGAAATTAATTAATTAAAGAGGCCTGGTGCCTCAACACCTGTAATCCCAGCATTCAGAAGGCTGAGGCAGGAGGATCTCCATAAGTTCAAGGCCAGCCTATGCTACAGTTTGAGACCCTATGGCTGTGGAATAACATTTAACACTGTAGAACCAAGTATTTCATGACAGATTATAAAATAAAGCCACAAGTTTAAATTATGTCTGAATATAAAAATAACTACTGAGTCTTCCAAAGGAAGAAACTGACCATATACTGAAGTATTTTATTTGTGTGCACATATCTCTTACCTTTAATAAAATAGCTTTGTACAGAGTGGTTACAATGACTATCACCTCTTAAAGTAGCATAATTCTTTTTTCTTATGTGTTTTTTATGTATTTTCCATAGACTGTTGGTAGAGAAAATCTTTGCTCAGTATCTTGTTCCCCATAACCTGGAAACAGAAGAGAGAATGAAATGCTTATATTATTTATATGCTAATTTGGATCCAAATGCTGTAAAGTAAGTTACTTTTCAAATGATTCATTTATTTCCTAAGTGCATTTTTTAAGTGTATTCATTTGTGCGCGCGTGTGTGTGTGTGTGTGTGTGTGTGTGTGTGTGGTGCACGTGTGTGTATGCGCACGCGTGTGCACATGTGGTTCTGGGTCTAGAACTCTCTTCTCATCAGGCTTGCCAGTAAGCGCCTTTATCCACTGGCCTGTCTTTCTGGCCCTAATGTTTATCTTTGTTAATGGCTTTCTGTTTTTGCTTTGAGATAGTCTTGGAATGTAGGTGATACCAATGCTTTTTTGTTTGTTTGTTTGTTTTTTGTGTGTGTGTGTTTTTGAGACAGGGTCTCCCTGTCACCCCAGCTGGCCTAGAACTCGCTTTGTAGACCAGGCTGGCCTGGGACTCACAAAGATCTGCCTGCCTCTGCCTCCCGAGTGCTGGGACTAAAGACGTGTGCCACCATGTCCAGCTGACAATACCAATCTTGAACTTCCTTTGTGGCCCAGGTTGGCCTTGAACTTGTGATTTTCCAGTCTCAACCTCCTGAGGGCTTTGCAGGCATGTGTCAGTATGCACAGTGAATTATTTCCTAAGGATTTTTGTTAGATTAATTCATTTTATCTAGTTAATTGTTACTGATGGGGTTTTTTAGCTGCTTCTCTTTGAATCATGAAACTTAGATAAATATTTATAGGGAAAAGGATAAATTAATTCATGTGTACGCATATATGCACATGTGTGTGTGTGTGTGTGTGTGTGTGCGCGCGCGCGTGCTTTTTAAACCAGTTCAATAATAATTGTTTCAGGTATTTAACCAAGCACCTTTGTCAAAATTTCTGTAATCATTATTTAAATTATGCTACCAGCTTTATCCTTTCAGACTAATTGCTAAACCTAAAAACTACTTACTGCTTCTTTGGAGACCATATCCTAATCATCTGTATGTAGAGTGAACTTATGATTTATTGTCTCAAAAGAACATTTTTGAGAAAAAACAGGCACTATTAACATATTCACATAGATAACCACCATAAATTCAAGCTATACAAAGCCAACCAGGGTGTGCAGTTTTCCACTTTAATAAACTTTTTTAAAAAATATACCCAGGCTCCAGCTGTGGCTACTACCTGGAGCTTTTATATGAGAAAAATAAAGTGAATAAAGTCTGAAAAATTTTTTTTTATATTTTATTTTTATTTTATGTGTATGAGCTTGTATGTGTATGTGTGCACCTGTGTTGTGTATAGAGACCAGAAGAGGGCGTCAGGATCCCTAGGAACTGGAATTACAGACAGTTGTTAACTGCCCTGTGGGTGCTGGGAACTGGACTTGGGCCAGTACTTTTAACTACTAAACCCTCTTTCCAGCCCCCCAGTTTAATATACTTTTTAAAAAGTAAATTTCAGTGTCTCTGTGTGTATTCATGTGTATGTATATGCATATATATCCATATTTGTATGTCAAAACATATTGTATACAATTTCTTTTATCAGTTCAAAATGTAAGTTTTTGTTTGTTCCTTGAGTAATTCCAACACTTAAGAGGTAGAGACAGGAGTTTCAGAAGTTGCAGGTCATTCTTATCTGGCTACATAGTAAGCTGAAGGCTAGTCTGAGATATGTTAGACCTTTTTGCAAAAGATGTACATACACACAAGTCAGCTAGGGATATAGCTCAGTGGTAGAGCTCTTGCCTAGCATACACAGGACCTAGGTTCAACCTGTAGCACCCAGCACACTCTTCACACAGAATATGTACAAAATATTATAATTTCAAACTTATAAGAAAGTTGCAGGAATGGTAGAGCACATTGTAATATAATTTTTTACCATTTGCCATTTCTACATTCTTTATTCTGCCTGTATACATTTTCTTCTCAATGATTTGAGAATCATTTACAGACCCATGTCTCCTTTTTCCTGTAAATATTTCAGGGCTGTTTGGTTATGAACAAAGGTACCTTCTTACATAACCTTTACCTTTACATGACCTTTAAATTTTACCTTTAAATTTTTAAAAAATATTTTATTAATTTTACTTTTTGTGTATGAGTGTATTGTCTGCATGTATGTAAGTGCACCTGTGTCATGCAGTGCCCAAGGAGGTCAGAAGAGGGCATTGGATCCCCGGGAGCTGGAGTTAATAGATGGTTGCTAGCCGCCATGTGGGAACTGGGAATTGAACCCAGGTCCTCTGCAAGAGCAGCCAGTGCTCTTAACTGATGAGCCATCTCTGCAGCCCCACATGACTAAAATTTTTAAAATTAACATTTTACAAATTACTGTGTATTTAAGTTTCCCCCATTTGTGATCATATTGTTCATATTTAGTTTTTATCTTTTATGCAAGAGTACTGCATAAGTATTGCATCCAGTTATTTTGTACAGTTATGTGGCCTCAGTTTGAGTTCTTCAGTTTTCTCATTGGATTGAGATTATGTATTTTCAGCAGAAATTCTGCAAAGGTCATATTGTATTCTTGAGACATCATTTCAGGAGGTGATAAGCATCATTCTTTTAGAAGCTTTATAAGTAGCTACTAAGGCTCGTCTCAGATAGCAAAATACTGGCCTAACATTTTGATGTCCATTTATATTTTCCCTTCTTCCCCTTCCTTTCCCTTCCTTACTTTGTTTCCTCTATTTTGTTCTTTAGACAGGATCTTGTATAGTCCAGCCTATCCCTGAACTGGCTATGTAGCTAAGGATGACCTTGATTTTCCACTCTCTTATCCCCCTATCTCCTGGTGCTAGGATTATAGGCTTGGGCCATCACACTCAGTTTATGCAATCCTGAGGATGGAGTCCAGGTTTTTATACACACTAAGTAAGCACTATATCGCCTGAGTCTCATCCTCAGTTCTCCATATATATTTCCAAATACCTAGTCATGAGAACTGAGAGAATAGTTTTTAGTCGTGTTCCTGACACCTGGAAGTAGAGGGGATTTGAGAAGAAAATCTGTTCACTGGCAGAAGAGCATAGAGTAACATAATCCATCTGAATTTGTAATCTTGAATCTATATCATTCCAACATAGTTCTTTTTCCTCTTTCGCTCTCCTTCCTTCCTTCCTTCCTTCCTTCTCTCTCTCTCTCTCTCTCTCTTTTCTTTCTTTCTTTCTTTCTGATTGAACCTAGGGCCACATATTGGATATTTTGCAAGTACTCT